TTTAAGCATAAGCCACTTGTGAAACGTTTCGACCAAAAAAATTCCCGGATATATATCCGTTTTTTTTGCTTTGGGGTTAAACGATTTTTCATGCCTTTTTAAGCCCTTTGTTAAATACCAGGTAATATACCCCATCGACAAAGAAGTAAGTGTGCTTAGGAAACATTGGGAGATCAGCTGGTTTACGGCATTTTATTGGTTTATTAAACAGCCTACTATCAATAGAATATTAGGTATCAAGTTTGATAAATGCCATTTGAGTCAGAATTTAATTTAATTAAATGATATATTATCGAAAAAATTATTTATAGTGGTTTCTATAAATGTTTTATCATCCAAATTATAAAACCTTAATTAAAACTTAATTTTGTTACAGAAATATTTATATCACTCTTATATACCCCTTATAGAGCTAATTTGGGGAGTTTATGAAGGTTATTGGTACCTATTTTACCTTTTCTAAGAAATTAACGTACTAAACTGGTTTAATTTATTTATAATAAGCATGCTTATTGCACTAATTTGTTTGTTTTACTGTTAATGTTTAATAATTTTTATTAAATTATTGTAAAATTAGATATGAATAATAAAACAAAAAGTGAGGTTAGGCAACCAAGAAAATGCACGATTCTTTTTCTACGATTTAAATTATCTTTAAGTTTTAATTTGCTTTAAGTTTTCAGTGAAATTAAATGTTAAACACAACTACCTATTTTTAAATAAAAATCCAAACAAATTGAAATTAGATACCTACCTATTTATTAAACAATTAATTGAATTCAATGTAATAGCAAAAATCCATTTCTACTTAAATCATGTAGCTAGGTATTGTCAAACTATTACTGCTTCTAAAAGCAATAGTAATTATTGTATACATTTAATGTAATCTTTAGCTAATAAATAAATGAGATTCTAAAAAAGTGAGGTTAGGCCGCTTTGATGTTGAATTAAATTGACCTATATAAAGTGCTTTGAAGATAAAATGTTACAGAAATATTTAAATTGACCTATATAAAGTGCTTTGAAGATAAAATGTTACAGAAATATTTATATCACTCTTATATACCCCTTATAGAGCTAATTTGGGGAGTTTATGAAGGTTATTGGTACCTATTTTACCTTTTCTAAGAAATTAACGTACTAAACTGGTTTAATTTATTTATAATAAGTAGGGATAGAACGATACCGATATTGATATCGGTATATCGGCATATCGGCAATTGTTTCCGATTATCGGTATCGTATCGTATCGGCAAGATAATTGCCGATATATCGGCAAAAAAAATTGCGCTTTTCACTCTTCAGTGCATAAATGAAATACTTTATTACACAAAATAAAAATTTTCTTACTTTTAATATTAAAAAATAAGAAAAACAACCCTTTTGGGAAACAATAATAGCATATGGCAACAGCGCGGCATGCAGTTTGATCTACTGTGTTTGTTCAGTAGTTCCGACGCTGTCGTAGGGAAATGTGTATAGTTTTTAAGAAATACATTTTCGCCATTAACTGGAATTTAATGGATTTTAAACAATACTTAGTTTTTATTTGCAGAAATGCATTAAAACAAAACAAACGAATTCGATAAAAATAAAACCTATAAATTCTTAATCCCTACCACAGTGGGCGGGGTTTGGCACTTGTTTTATTTAAGTGTATCTATTCGTTTTAATACACACTGTATAAGGGGCTTCCCAGAAATCCGAAATGTCACTCACTACCAATCACAAACGTTTCCTCGCAACGGAATTAAAACGGGACTTCCCCGATTTTTGCTTCGGTCGTGTATAAATAGATGGCATTATGTTTGCCGATACGATATATCGGTATATCGGTATATCGGCACGTAAATATCGGTATCGGCCGATATATCGTATCGGCAAAAAAAAGTGATATCGTTCTATCCCTAATAATAAGCATGCTTATTGCACTAATTTGTTTGTTTTACTGTTAATGTTTAATATTTTTTATTAAATTATTGTAAAATTAAATATGAATAATAAAACAAAAAGTGAGGTTAGGCAACCAAGAAAACGCACGATTCTTTTTCTACGATTTAAATTATCTTTAAGTTTTAATTTGCTTTAAGTTTTCAGTGAAATTAAATGTTAAACACAACTACCTATTTTTAAATAAAAATCCAAACAAATTGAAATTAGATACACTGAAAAAAAGAAACCTTTGCCCCAAGGAAATCTGCCATTCCCTCAAAGGAATGGGGACTTTGGATAGGTCCAAATGAATGAAGGGTTTAAAGCAAATACGTCATTTCTTTGAGATCATTTCATGATTTGTCTTTGTTGCAAAGAAACATGAATTTAGAAGAAAATCTTCGTTATAGGTCCTTAAATGCCGTGCTTTTATTAATAACCCGGTACTGATTTGGATCAAAGGCTTAAGTAAATTAAAATAAAGAAAAGCGGGCTTACTACAAAATCTTAGGTTCTTGTTCTTAAAGAATTAGGAATTTGTAGCAAAAGTCGGATGTCTGGATTTAAATCTATTGGCATTTAAGTTAAGTGATTTAATTTTTTGTAACAAAATCCGTGTGTTTATTTCAAATCCATAAGCGTTTGATTAAAAAACTTTTGTTATTTGTATCAAAACTCGGATTTCTTGCTCTTAATCTATGGGCATTTGAACCAAAGCCCGAATGTCTTTAGCTGAAACTCTTTGATTTTAGAAAATTGCCTGCCTAAATTAAAAAAAACTACAATAATTTTTACTAAAAACATATTTTTATTAAAAATATAAAAGACAGTCATAAACATAAAATACATTGTTTATACAAAATACAAAAAACTGATTATTCTTTCACTCATAAACATAAAATACATTGTTTATACAAAATACAAAAAACTGATTATTCTTAAACTCAAAGAAATTTCCACCTTGCAGCCGTAGGCTATGGTCTAGCTGGCCTTTTTAGAAATCCGCCTCTGGATATCTGTCAAGAAATAGAAGGATATATTCTCCTCCCAAAGATTAATTTTTTTGGAAAATAATGCCGTAAGTACTTATTTGTTAATATGTTTTAAGTCTTTAACACAAAACCATCCTAATATTGAATTAATCCCAGTGCATTTGAGCCAAAACCTACATATATATGTGTTTTATCTATGGAGGACATGACTTGCTGACATGTAGGTTTTGGCTCAAATGCACGGGGATTAATTCAATATTAGGATGGTTTTGTGTTAAAGTCTTAAAACATATTGACAAATACGGCATTATTTTCTTACAAAATTTTAATCTTTGGGAGAAGGTATAGGTAGCCATTTTTATTTTCCTGTTCTAAGAAAGCATTTTACAGAATGATAATATTTGCATGAAATAATTATATTTTAGTCGATTTTAGCTTATTAATTAGGTATTTTTCTTTATTACATTCCTAATCGATTAAAATTTTAAAAATAAGAATACATTACCTATAAAATTTAACCTCCAAATTTTGGAAATAAATGAATAATCCCAAAGTTTAAGCAGTTCCTTTATGGTACCCATAATCTCGATCTATAACACTATGGTACAAATAATCTTGATTTATAGCCATAGAAAAAGTATCACACTAGTTATTTATTCGCGCGAGATGAACACCTTTGACGAAGTACTGTGGACGCGACGCGTGGACTGATACTGAAGGACACTCATTGTTGCAAGAACTATCAAATTACCGAGTGATTTCCGACAAATGCTTTGTTCTTGAAATAAAGTTATTAAAAAGGATTTAGCCAAAAGAATCAAGAGTTTGCCTTAAATGCATCACCTATTTTAGTCAAATGCCAAAGAATTTGCAAAAAGTTAACTTTCTTTAAACTAAAAGAATAATTTTCAAATGAATGGATTCTTTTGCCTAAAATAATCCATGTTTATCAGTGTAGTTTGGCACAAAACCGTGGGATTTCTAGCAATAACATTAAATTTTGACAGAAAGACATGAATTGAAGATTTCTTTTGTCTAAATGCCTTTACTTTGCCTTAAAGTAATTAAATGTCAAAAGAATCGAGAATTACACCTAAATGCAGCAATTATCTTATCCGAAGGGAAACGGATTTAAAATAAATACAGTTTCTTTGAATTAAATCAATATTTTTCAAATGAATGGATTCTTTTGCCACAAGGATACCATTTTTATCAGTGTACCTATTAAACAATTAATTGAATTCAATGTAATAGCAAAAATCCATTTCTACTTAAATCATGTAGCTAGGTATTGTCAAACTATTACTGCTTCTAAAAGCAATAATAATTATTGTACATTTAATGTAATCTTTAGCTAATAAATAAATGAGATTCTAAAAAAGTGAGGTTAGGCCGCTTTGATGTTGAATTAAATTGACCTATATAAAGTGCTTTGAAGATAAAATGTTGTATGCCATTCGGCCAAGAAGTGCCTTTTTGTGCCTCGCTCAATTGAGCTTAGCACAAAAAGCCTTACTTCTTAACCTAATGACATAAATAACTCATGGTAATTTTATATAACCTAAGGTACTGGTTCAGTTTTATAGGACTATCTGAGTTACTTAAAGTGTTATTATATAATTTTGAAACTACAAGTGATGTTATAAAACGAAAGCTAATTTCTGTTTCAATTACTAAACATTTTTGGTTTATTAAGCACATAGATAATTAATAACTCACACTATTTATAAAAAAAAATTAAAGACAATAGTTTTATAAAACAGGTAACAGAAAACTTTATAAAACTCCTTTATAAACCTACTGGTAACGGTTACCAAAGGTTATATAAAATGTTTGTAGAAACCTAATTATATACCTAGAGTTTACAGTAACCTCATATGATCATTATAAAACTTGTTAAACTCTTATATAACTCTTATAAAACCTTTATATAATTTATCGTTACCATAATTAGTATTTTAACGATTGTATGACATTTGACAACTGTCAGCCAACTTAAAATGTCAATGTGTATTCTAATGTCATGGAAACTTGTACGATAGAGGTAGGAGTAGAAAAAATAATATATGAACTCACCGGAATTGAAAGCTGCGAACGGAAGTTGCCTGGAGATGCTTTCAGCAACTTCCGAAGTTAGACCATAGATTCCCAAAAGTTCCCTCATGGTGTTCATGGCGTATTCTTGCATTTCCGAGACTTGACCTTGAGAAAATTGAGGGTTTTGGAAGTCTGAGACGTGTGGTTTCGATAGGTTATGTATGGAGAAACTCGACGGTATTTTGGTGTCATTTTCGCTTGAATTGTCGTTCTCATTATCGTTATCTGAATTTTGAAAGGGGAAGTTTTCTTCTGAATCAGAGTTAGATTCGTTCGAATCGTTATTTTTGCTCAAATCCATAGGAGAAAACCTCGTATCCACCACCAATCTAGTCGGTTGAGTTTTCCTTCTACCAACGTTATTATTGACGTTGTTATTTTCGTTCATGCTTAATGCACCTTCATTCTCAGAGTAGCCAGTGTTCGAGCACCTCGGTTTGAAATTTTTGCGCTTGTTTCTCTTGGGAGTTTCGCTTTTCGCAGCGGCCCCGTAGCCGTCCTGATCCGAGTCGCTTGAGTTTTCCTGAGCGTAGTTTTCCGTGCTCTCGTAGCGGTGGTAGGTTTCCACGTTTTCCGGCGACATTTTCAGGGTGACCGAGTCTGAAACAAAAATAATCGTTGTAATCTTAATTGGAATGTACATTGTGTCCCTAAAAGTACTTTAAGCACTTGTGTTTTGTTTTAATATTGGGGAAAATTTTTAATATTTGTTTAACATATCACCAAAGTTGCCCTTTTTAAGTATCAGTGTGTCCTAGTCTGCTAAAAATCGGAAAATGCTGTATGTTTGTCCCACTGTGCGAAACCTTTTCTTCAGTCTAGAGTTCTAGCACTGTCGATAGATAGTTTTAGATGGTGGGTAGTGAAAATACCGATAGTTATCGATAGTTTTTTTTTACTTTTTTTGTTTTTATTAATGTTTATTACAGAAATGCGAAATTATAATAATTCTGGTTTTATGTTAGTAACCCTGTTTTTTTCTTTTTTTTCTTTAAATGTACAAGAATTTTGAAAATACATTGTATTACCATTGAGTAAAGTGTAAACTTCTTTACTCAATGGTATTACGTTTTCTGTTATTCTTTGGACAGCATATTTGCTGTATTACAAAAAAAATACAGTGTTTGTCTAATATTAGTAAAAACTGACATTCTAAAAATCTTATACCTGATCTGAGCGCGGAATAAAATTATATCAGCGATTATGAGGGGAACTTTTTGCCAGCGCCATTCAAAAATTCATCTCGCTCCGACTTCGTTTGTCCTTTGGTTTTTACCGAAAAGTATTTGCTTTTACAGAAAACGCAGAAAAACTGGCAAGAATGCATTTTAGATGACAATTAATTTTATTTTTCTGGGAATTTTCGAGTTTGCCCGTCTGCGCTGAATCGTTTAAAAATTTGCTTGTTTTTGCGATATATGCAGCAAAATTTTTCGGACCCGTCTGGTCTTCTTCGACATCCCAAATATACGGGGTGTACAAAAATAATTTAATTAACTTTCGTATAATTAACAATCTTAAACATTTTTACTAACCAGTTGCATTGTAAAATTACAAAATGTTGTATTTTATTGCAATTCTGTATTGTAGAATTGAATTTGAAGTTTTGTAAAATTTCTATAGAAATGTCCGAATATGTATATATACATATTCGGAATTTAATTTTACCAAGATAATCAATAAAATTACTAACCAAAATTTGCTATTTGAATTACAATAAGTGTTTGGAAATATACAAATCAATATTTATTTTATACAACTTCTGTTTGCATTTTTACTATATATCATTTTAACCATGTACACTGTTAAAATTTTTTGTAAAATTACAATTGTTTTGCAAAACAAAGGATGAGTAAAATTACAAATCAGTGTATACCAATACAAAATTATAATACAATGTGAGTAATCTTCCAAGACATGTTGGGAAATCTACTAAGATAAGTTGTAATTTTACAATCTATATGTATAAATCCTACACGCATTGTAATTTTACCAAACAGTTTGACAGTTTCTAATAAAAATCATCTCAGATTTACAAACGTTGTTTGTAATTTGATTTGCCATAATGTTATGTAAAATGCTTAGTATATACCGATTGCGGCAATCACGTGATGTTCTTACATCTCGCCTCGGTTGACTTAGGTGGACAGTATATAAGCTCAGGTGTCTTTCGTTTTTGGTGCGTTCCAATACACCAAATTGCCCGACATTGATTAGACCCAAAATAGGTCTATCTGTCTGTCGGTATTTGAAGTTGGTGGAACGCATTTTTTTGAAATCTTTACAGTAATGGGTCAAGAAAGTTTCTTGAAGAAAGTAAGAAAATTGCACAGTTTAGGAATTACCAATATTTACCAGAAATCTCACCACTGTTTTGTTAATAATTGTGAATATAAGCCTCAAATTCAAAGAAATTATAATTATTAGAAATTACCAGTATTTAACAGGTGTACAATTAAAACTCATGTTAAAAACCAAACATCTCACCATTGCAAGGTTAATAATTGTAAATATAAGCCACATTTACATCTCACCACTGTTAGGTTAATAATTGTGTATATAGGTAAGGCTCAAATTTACAAAAATAGTACACACGTTTATTAAAACAATTTATTACATTACTGCAGTGTATTTCTACATTTTGTAGGCAAACAAACACATCAACCTACCGTTGAGTATACACTCTTAAAACAAATACCGAAACTAATTAATTTTTTTCAAATTTTATCTCGTGTTGACTTAACAGAAAAATACCTTATTTGAGCGTTGGACAAACAAAAAATTAGGCAATGTTTATTTTTAATAGTAAAAAAATTATTACCGTTTCGTTTGCATTCAAAATTTTAAAAATTTAACAGCATATGGGAAGCTAAGTTTTTAGGTAAACATTCGTTAATAGCTAAATATTATACAGGATGTTCATAAAAAACAACTTACAGAAATTATAATTTAAAAACATGAAAAAAAAATATTTACCAGAGTTAAGCCCATAAGAGTTTGGTGAGAGTATCCCAGTGGTTACAGTTGCCATTGCCACCAACATAAGATACTGAAAAAATAAATAAATTGTTAGTCTAATAAAATGTTTAAGGGTAAAAATTACGCCGTTTTTAATAACAAAAAAACTAACAAAGGTTTTAAAAGGACAAAGATTCTAAAATAAGTAATTTATATATACCATATAAAATAACTTGATTTATGGGGCACATGTTTTTTACACTACCCCAAATAAGTATTGCACGTAAAATCAAAAACTACCCTTTAAAAATTATTTGGTCTGGAAAAACAAGTTTAATTTGAATATTGGGGATGGAAAATTTGCATATACAGATGGTCAAAAGTACAACCCTTAAAAGTTTAAAAAAATGATCCATTGAATAAAACGAAATTAAAGGAAGGGTTGGTTTATTACAAAACTGCGCCCTTCTTATATGTTTAATGGATTTATCACCCCATTGTGATATTTTTTATAGACAATACTATGAGAAATTACAAAGTTTCGTTTTTCAAAGTCATTAAAATTGCCGATTTTGATACACCCTGTATTTTTTTATAAAAGTTTCAAATTAAACAGTCCCCTGGTAACGTAAAATGACATTTTTATTTTGTAAAGAAAGAAAAAGAAAGGATTAAGTAAAAAACGTAAAAAAAAATAATAATGGCGTTTGCATAAAAAAATATTTTTTTTCTTAAAAATACGTGAAATACCCATACACGCATATTTAACACAAATTTTATAAATTTTTAACTGTGTATGATATACCTCAATTTTTTTATATAGAATACATTTCTGAAAATCTTAGTATTCCGTCAAATTAAACAGTCCCCTGGCCACGTAAAATGGCAGCTTTATTTGGTAAAGAAGGAAAAAGAAAGGATTAAGTAAAAACCGTAAAAAAAATAAAAATGTCCTTTGCCCCAAACCCTATATCCATACAAAAAATCACAGTTGTGGAAATAACATTTTTGGAATAAAAATAAAACAGCTTTAATAATTTGCTAGGAATTGTAAAAACGAGGTTCAAAATCCAAATTAAATTAAAACAGTAAAATTTCTAGGAATATTTATAAAAATACGTCAATAAAATTCATTAATATATGATTAAAAAAATTCGTAATAACTTTAAAACAATTAATTTTTGCACTTGTGCATTTAATATTTTTGCTATAAACATCTCAAAAATGTAGACTGAAATTAATTAAAATTTCTGCAAACGTATTTAGAAAAAAGTGCTGATGTTAAATATCCATTGTTTATAGAAACATATGTGGAATAAATATTAAATATACGGTATCAAATATTTTAACGTATTTTTTACCTAACTTTAATTGTTTTCTTTTTTTAACGCATGTGCAAAATTTTCATCGCTTACTTTCCCTATACCTGCACTTTCTTTTTATTTATGTCATAATTAAAAAAAAAGATACAGTGTGTTAAAAGAAAATTATTTGTCAAGAATTAATAGGTATACCTAAATGAGTACATTATTTATATTTTTACATGCATGGCTCAGGCATGAAATTTAAGGACCAGTTTTTTAAACTTAAAAAACAAGGAATTTCGATACAAATCCTTATTTCCATAATTTTTATATTAGGCTTAATTTGAATTTTTTCGGATTAACTGCGATATTTATGAGCTAAAATTTAATTAAAATGGAAATTTTTGTGCATTTTGGTCTTAAAATAACCTCAAAAAGTCGAATATGGCGTAATAATGACATCTCACCACTGTCTGGTCAATAATTGTAAATATAAGCTTCATATTTACAAAAATATGTTCAACAGGTGTTAACAACAAATATATTTTATAATTGTAAATATAAGCCTTAAATTTATAAAAATTACAATTATTAAAATTACCAATATTTTAGAGGTACGATGAAAATTCGTGTTAATTTTGTATATACCTAAGCCTTAAATTTAAAAAAATTTCAATGAAAAACTTTTGTTAAAAACGAGACATCTCACCACTGTTTGGTTAATACTTGTAAATATAAGTCTCAAATTTACAAAAATTACAATTATTACAAATTACCAATATTTAAAAGTATACAAGAAAAATGGTGTTAAAAACCAGACATCTCACCACTGTTTGGTAAATAATTGTGAATATAAGGCTCAAATTATTATTACAAATTACCAATATTTAACAGGTTTACAATGAAAAACTTTTGTTAAAAACGAGACATCTCACCACTGTTTGGTTAATACTTGTTATTAAATTACCAAATATTTACCAATATTTAAAAGGTGTCCAATGAAAAATGGTGTTAGAAACCAGACATCTCACCACTGTTTGGTAAATAATTGTGAATATAAGGCTGAAATGTACAAAAATTATTATTATTACAAATTATCAGTATCCAACACGTTAAATTAAAACTGGTGTTAAAACAGGTTTTTTACGTTAAATACCATACAAATTTGTCTCCTCAAGCTTCCTAAATAAATAAATCTGATCTTATCTATTATATTACTCGTTCGAAGCCCGCGGTAGACGAAAATTAACATTTAAATAACTTTTTAAGTAATACAAGAAATTCCTATGCATCTCTGAAATAAATGTTTTAATTATTTTTATCAATCCCCCTACACATATACAATAGGAAGTTCATATCTAAAGATTGCGTTAATTTTCTAAATTTTATACAAATATTATGTTGTATTTATTTTTTTACATCGTCGTAAAGCGCGTTACCGAAATGATACATGGAATATTAGTTATTGAAGGTCAATTTTAATAAAAACCAAATCCGTTTTTTTAATAATATACTGGTACAATAATAAAATTATTAATAAAAAAAATCGGAATTCTTGTAATGCTGCTTTTGAACCAAGGTAAATATGTAAATTCCAATTGTTTGAAACCTACGCTGAAATTTAAATAAATTGAAAATTTATAACAATATGGGTTCGGCCGTATTACAAAATATGTTTAATTGTTCTAAGATATAATTATTTTAATATGTACAATATGGTAGGTACATTGTCTTATAATAGTATCAACACCTTAGAAATGAATATTAATTATTTTTTTGTTTTTGTCAATGAGTGGGGTCGAATCAAACTTATGTTGAACACCCTGTATCAGCATTTGTATGGAGGTAAATTAAGTTTTTAAATATCTGAATATTTCGGTCTTGGGAATATTATAAAAAAACCGATAAAATCGCTTAAAAGGTTTTCAAAGAAAACTTGTTTTAAAAACCGGACATCTCACCACTGTTTGGTAAATAATTGTAAATATAAGCCTCAAATTTATAAAAATTATAATTATTACAAATTACCAATATTAAACTTAAAATGAAACTGTGTTAAAACCAGACATCTCACCACTGTTTGGTAAATAATTGTGAATATAATAAGCCTTAAATTTTCAATAATTACAATTATTACAAATTATCAATATTTAACTGGTTCACAATAAAAACTGACGTTAAAAAAACAAACATCTCACCACTGTTTGGTTAATAATTATTTATAGAAATTACAAGTATTACAAATTACCAATATTTGCAATGAAAATGTGTTAAAAACAGACATCTCACCACTGTTTGGTAAATAATTGTGAATATAATATGCCTTAAGTTTTCAGAAATTACAATAATTACCAATTACCAATATTTAACAGGTTTTCAATGAAAACTGACGTTAAAAAACAGACATTTCACCACTGTTTTGTTAATAATTGTTATTATAAGCTTCAAATTTATAGAAATTTCAATATTACAATGAAAAATATATTTCAATAACATTTCGGGGACTTTTAAAGCAAAGTAAAAAGAAAACTGCCTAAAACAAAATTTTTATAAATTTATCTTTAGTACTTTTTAAGATAACTATCTTAAACCTAACCAATAAAAATTAAAACAACATAAACTCACTGAAAACTGTTTATATCTTGCTATAAACTTTAAAAACTTTTAGAAGAGATAAATAACGAAAAATTTACAATGTCCGATGACATTTCGGCATTTTCAAATATTTAACTACTTAAAACCGATAAAATCCGTTAAAAGCAGGAAAATAAAAATAAAAAAAATAAATAAAACTGTTCGGACGTAAAAACCCCATAAATATTGTCCAGGAATTTCAGAAATTAAGTCACTACGATTTTAAGGCACTGTGGGGTTGTTAATTTTTTTAGGTGGATAAATTTTTAAAGTGCTGTAACTATGTTATTATTAGTGATATTTTTATGATTTTTTTTTGGTTTGCACTAAAAAAATACGGTGTTTTTGGTGGTGCAATCAATTTTTGTTTTTTTTTGTAAACAGTTGATTTTTTGTTGTCCACTTAAAAAAGATTTTTCGCCACAGTACGCGATGTTCTTAATCCCCTGTTTTAAATAAAAAAACGTAATAAAAAGAAACGAAAAGCTTCGTATTTAGTTAAATCGACGACTTTTAAGTTTTGTTCTTTTTGATTTTAAATTTTTAAGTTGTAAAACATGTTTTTCGACCATCTAAAAGAATTCTCAAACTCCACTACTTAGCCAGGTTAAATGACATTTTTTATGTGAACGTGATTTTTATTTTTTAATTCAACGGTCTTAACTTTTATTGCTTTATTTTGGGACATTAAAAGGAGGATTAACGATTTTTTCGACGCTAGTTTGGGCATTTAAGTTGGTTTATTAATTTTATAGGATGTCATAAAATTACTTAAAATAAACATTCCAAGCTTAATTTAATATTTATATTTTTTATTAAAATTAAAAAAACTCTAAAACTAATCATCACATTTCTCTCAAATTTGGTGTGAACACCCTGTATATACCCCTTGACGTTCCCCCCAAATTTCATCTAAATCCCCCTACCAGAGGTAAAGTTACACATAGACGAGTTTTGGGAACCCCCTGTATATATAGAGTAAGATAAAACATAGTAGGCGTTTTCCTCGGGTCACTAGAATGCAGAACAATTAAAAACAATCGGCAATCGCTAGGTAGCGAGCGAATTTCAAAATATCTTTTTATGTGAATGTATTTATGGTGAGAAAAATCATTTTATGTTTTAGCCCTTCTTGGGAAATAAGTTTTATTGTGTTGGCCTTACTGGCAAAAAAGTTTTTTATTGAAAATATGATTTATTAAGTCTTAATTTTCATTCTTTGTAGGAGTAATATAAAGTTTATTCTTAAAAACTTTTTTCCATTGTTCAATGCATATCATATTACGAAATTTAACCTTATCATTTAATCCACATTAATTACATAAAACTACTTAATGTCAATAAAATTAAGACCGTAATTTTTAAGTAAATTTACGTCGGTTTTACCAAAGAAGACGGTACTTCTAACTCATCAAAGTTAAATCAAATATTTGTATCATAAAATTTTATAAAATTGTCAACATAGATACTGTATTTTAAAAGCATATTATACTCTCAAAAATTTAATTTCTTATTTGCTGTACACTAAATGGGTATACTATCTCACTAAAAACACCCTGTATAACAATAATAAATGATGCCTCGTCATATATGAAAATATTTACTTTAATTTTTTTTCGCCAAACGACATACTATCATTCTTGAATGAAGCATTATTTTTGATTAATGATACCATGGAGATGTAACAATACTTGGACATGTGTATTTTTGCCATACTTTCAATTGTTCTTAATGATATCAATAAATATAAATATGAACAAACAATGGAATACCTTAGTTGACTTTTTTACTAACTGAAAGATGATTAAGTCGAACATCACGTCAAAAATATAAAAAAAAAATGGTTACATTCATTTTGCCTTATAACTTTTTTTTCTGTGAAAATAATTTCATAAAATTTCTTGTGGGTTTGAAATAATGTTTGAACTACAATTATTCCAAATTACAATCAAAAAGGTTCAGTGGTTTTCTTAATAGACAAGTTTACCAAAAACACTACCAGAAAAAAATCGTTCTATATTTTGTGGAATAACTTCTTTCATAGTAAATATAATTCAACTAAATTTGGCAATATTGTAAAACAACGTTTATTTTATAAATACCCAAAATTTTGTCCAAAAATATTCACTACTTTCCAAGTTACGAACCTTTAAACCCAAAGCAGCAAAATATTATTATTATTATAAATACCACATTATATTTTCCCCAGATTTTCACAATGCCAAATCCCAATTATAACCTTCAACGCTTTTCGAAATAATGAGGAAAAATAACCAACCTGTCTACTCAAATTTAGCAAAACATACACGTGCATTATATTTTTACTTTTTGCTTGTGTTAGAGTAAAATTATTTTAATGAAATTCAACAGATATGTTTTCTGATGTTTCTACACTGAATATGCCAAATTTTAGCCAGGTATGTTGAGTGGTTTTTGAAATATTGCTCATTATTTATGAGAATGTTAAAATTGATATAATATTGAAGATATTTACAAAATCATGGTGTGATGTAAAAAATGCGATCTAAATATTGAGCTGTATTTTGTTTTATTTTTATTGGATGTAAATACAAAAAAATGTATTTTTTGAAACACTTTTAAGAAATGTCACAGTTTTTTGTTGTGGAGATTAGGTTGTGTCAAAATGATATCCTGAAGTTTCGTTAAAATTTGTCTTGATTTTTAAAGGCTTATAACTTTTTTAATATTTGTCATATTTTGAAAAATTTTATGTCAAATTGTTCAAAATTTTATGTAGCTTTGTAAATGTTAAAAAATTGCCGAAATATTTTAGGAGATATTTGGGTTGTATCTTTATTTTTAAACGTTTTTAAAAGTTTTGTAACTTTCTTAATATTTGGTTGATTTACAAAGGTGAGGTGTCATATTAAAGCTCATTTCATGTAGTTTTTATATATGTTTAACATATTACAAATATTTTTTGAGATATTTGGGGGAATGTGGGGGAGTTCCATTAATTACCTTAAAATCAACTGATATCTCCGTAAATTTCGATCAGTCACTTAAAAGCACAAAAACAAACGCAAAACAATCGAAGGTGAGCTATCAAAATGCTAAACAAAACACAAACGGTCACTAATAGAGTAAATAAACAAAACAAAAACAATTATATGTCAAATTAAGGGTATATTTATGGAACTTTTGGAAGTATTAAATTTTTACTTTTAAGAAATGTCATAATTTTTAAAAATACTTGAAGATATTGTGGTGCCAAAATGATATACTGAAATTTCAAAAAAATTGTCTTGTTTTTGATGGCTTATAACTTTTTTAATATTTCTTGTATTTTGGAAAATTGTATGTCAAATTGTTTAAAATTTCATGTAGTTTTGTAAATGTTAAAAAATTGCCGAAATATTTTGGGAGATATTTGGGTTGTATCTTTATTTTTGAACGATTTTCAAAGTTTTGTAACTTTCTTAATATTTGGTTGATTTACAAAGGCGAGGTGTCATATTAAAGCTAATTTAATGTAGTTTTAATATATGTCAAAATGTTTAACATATTGCAAATATTTTTGGAGATATTTTGGGGAATGTGGGGGAGTGCCATAAATTACCTTAAAATCAACTGATATCTCCGTAAATTTCGATCATAGTCACTTAAAGCACAAAAACAAAAGCAAAACAATCGAAGGTGAGCTGTCAAAATGCTAAACAAAACACAAACGTTCACTAATAGAGTAAATAAACAAAACAAAAACAATTATATGTCAAATTAAGGGTATATTTATGTAACTTTGGAAGTATTAAATTTTTACTGTTAAGAAATGTCATAATTTTTAAAAATACTTAATTTTTTGTGTAGATATTGTTGTGTCAAAATGATATACGGAAATTTTAAAAAAATTGTCTTGATTTTTAATGGCTTATAATTTTTTTAATATATCTTGTATTTTGGAAAATTGTATGTCAAATTGTTCAAAATTTCATGTAGTTTTGGAAATATAAAAAAATTGCCGAAATATTTTAGGAGATATTTGGGTTGTATCTTTATTTTTGAACGTTTTTGAAAGTTTTGTAACTTTCTTAATATTTTGTTGATTTACAAAGGTGAGGTGTCATATTAAAGCTAATTTCATGTAGTTTTTATATATTTCAAAATGTTTAACATATTGCAAATATTTTTGGAGATATTTGGGGGAATGTGGGGGAGTGCCATAAATTACCTTAAAATCAACTGATATCTCCGTAAATTTCGATCATAGTCACTTAAAAGCACAAAAACAAAAGCAAAACAATCAAAGGTTAGCTGTCAAAATACTAAACAGTACAAGTTAAAAAAGTGCCCAAATATTTTAGGAGATATTTGGGTTGTATCTTTATTTTTGAACGTCTTTGAAAGTTTTGTAACTTTCTTATTATTTGGTTGATTTACAAAGGTGAGGTGTCATATTAAAGCTAATTTCATGTAGTTTTTATATATGTCAAAATGTTTAACATATTGCAAATATTTTTGGAGATATTTTGGGGAATGTGGGGGAGTGCCATAAATTACCTTAAAATCAACTGATATCTCCGTGAATTTCGATCATAGTCACTTAAAGCACAAAAACAAAAGCAAAACAATCGAAGGTGAGCTGTCAAAATGGTAAACAAAACACAAACGATCACTGATAGAGTAAATAAACAAAACAAAAACGGCGTGAAGCTTGTCCAGAGGCGCGAACTAAAAAAACTGAAAATCGTATCGTACGTGGCGACGTCGTTTTGACTGCGACGTCGGCATGCGACTGAAGCAGCGTGTTTCGTTTGTTTCGGCGCGTCCCCTCCCCGTCCGAGCGTTCTGCCCCCACCCCCGGCCGCGGCGGGTTTAAGTTTTTCAGCAAATACGTGAATTTCTTTCTATTGGTCGGCAGAGCAAAGTTTGGCGAATTCGTAATTCAGAGAGATACACACCTCGATTGTTTGTTACGTTATTTGCGAAATATGCACGTGCCTCGAAAATTGGTGCGCTCGCTAAGCGACGCTGCCAAGTTTACCCTGTCGTCGGTTTAACGTTGTTTATTGTTAGATTTGTGGTGCGCCTAATGTGTTAAAAATAGGGTTGGAACAGTTGAAATTTTCATTTGAAAGTTTCAAACTTGAAATATTTCATTTAGTTGGAAAAGTGAAATTTTTAAAAATTTCAAATGGAATTTTCAATCCGAAATTTTTAATAAATTTCATAAATGTCATGAAAATTTCAAGTACAAGCAAAAAGTGAAATTTCCCCAACCCTAGTTAAAAATAATTTTTGAATTCTTTTATCAAATTGAAAATTGAAATAAATGTTTTTTAAAACTCGGAACCCAGAAATCAAATATTTTACTAGTATTTTCTAAAACCTTGTTTTTTAATAACCAAAACGTATCAATAAATCAATATTATGTTAATTTGGAGTGTGAAGGTTTCCGGTTTAAATTTTGTTTACGATCCTTACAAAAATTAAAAAATATTATTAAAAACGTCAAATTTGTTGAATTTATTGCTATTAATATACATTTTTATAACTACCTAACTTAATTTAAATATATATTATTTTATTTCATTCTACAATGTTTTAAAAGTCTAAAACCTATCCTCCGTGACTGATACTTTTTCCAGGTTAACCTATATGTTTTCAAATATTTGAGGTAGTAAAAGCATACTAAAAATATCACTTCACTAAGTAAATTAAAAGAAGTAATTTTTATAACCATTTATGTAGGTGTTACAAAAATTGATTCTATCCTCCGTGAATCTGTTTTTCTTTAAATTTTATGCAACAGATGGCACTTTAATCATTTGAAATAGGCAAAAACCTCTGTTTACGACATTATAGATGCATGCGATTCCTGAAGGTCAGTTAGAATTTATATGCAGATGATAGTGTTGCTGTTTTATAATTCAAAAGTTTAAGTTCATTAATTTGCTATTTAAAAACCTATCCACCGTGAAGTGTAATATCTTTTTTATAAATATTTTATGTATGTACAATTGTATTTTTTAAAAATATTAAGTTGTCATTAGATACAATAACTTATTTCAAATATACAAAGGGATGTTAAAAAAAAACATAACATCCTAACCTCCGTGAAGCTCTAATATTCAAAATGTATGATTTCTTAAAATTCTTGCATTAGTGCAGAACCACTTATGTTATTACTAGACCTGGTGGCTTCCTAAAAACCCCATTCTAGACTAACAGTGAAACAACCAAAAATAAAAAATAATCATATATATATATATATATATATATATATATGTATATACAATTTTATAATCTATAATCTATTAGAAGGTATTTTTCTAAAATATTTTGAACGCAATATATCTGAAAATATTAACTATATATAGGCAATCGTAAAATCAATCGAAATGTTTTTAATTTTCTATTTGATTATGTAAAAACATACACGGTGTTAGATTTAAAATAAAAAGTTATTAACGTTTCAAGTTGGCCCAATTTGCCCTGGGTTTTATGGGGTAATTTTTTGAAAAATGTTAAAGAATTGACATGGAATCTTTCAAACAATGTTTTAAGATTCCAAAAATTCCACCCCCATTTCCGCAAACCTATAGGTTTATAATAGCAAAAAAGTATACCCTGTATATTTTTATAAAAACTCTATTAATAATAGTACCTACCCGATTGATTTTTTTATTGGTGCTTTTTTGAAACTTTTTAAAAACCTTTTGTTTTTAAACGTGGGTACTACTAAAATCATGTTTTATAAAATTTCCGGAAAAAATATTTATTTTAAAAGCCATTTTAATTATGACTACATTTTTGTAAATTTAACTTTGTTGGAAAAAATTTAAAAAATCCACAGAAACGTTTTAGGTGGGGGTGCTGACTTTAAGCCGAGAGATCGTGGGTTCGAGTCCCACCTTGATATGGTTGATATTTGTGTTTGTCCCAGTGTTAATTTAACTCTTTCACCCCTGTGGTCCGTTCCTACCCCTAACTCGCACTCGCCATTCAGTTGGCTTTTGGGACGTCTTAGGAAGTAGGGTGGAAGAGCACTTTTGAATATAACTTTTTTTTAGTATACGAGGTGTGTTCAGAAAATATCGGGAATTTTCGTTTTTTGAAACAAATATTTATTTATTCGTCTACATTAATGTTGTCGCCTTCAAAATAGTCCCCATTGGATTTTATGCACATGTGCCAGGTCTTCTTCCAATACTCGAAACACTTCTAAAACTCGATCTTTGAGATAGCCTTTAGTTCTTTCAGCGATGCGCTTTTAATGTCATCTATGCTTCCAAAACGACGGCCCTTTAAGGTTCTCTTTATTTTTGGGAATAGGAAAAAGTCAGACAGAGGCATGTCTGGCGAATATGGAGGCTGGAGCATCATTACAGTATTGTTTTTGGCCAAAAATTTTGTTCAAAATTTAACAATTTTAGAACAAATTTTGCTGCCACGCGTTTCATGGGATGAGCCAATCGATGTACCAACATCATCAGCGACTTATCTGATGGTTTATAACCATTTCTTCCACTTTTTCCATGTTTTTATCGGTTGTTAATGTGCTTGTGCGTTCGGGGCGTTCGTCATCTTCAACGTCTTCACGGCCATCTTGGAAACTCTTATACCACTTGTAAACTCTTGTTTTACTTATAGCAGACTCACTATAGGCATTTGTTAACATTTCACAGAATTTATTTAATTTTTTAAGCAAAATTGGATACAAATTCTTTGATCCATTTCTTTTAACGAACGAAAAATCGCCGAGCTCATAAAACACGTCTAACCTTAGCGGCTGCCACAGACAAAGTAAACAATGAAAACCCTTAGTTTTTATCATACATACTACAACCGGACCCTCTGAACCCGCGAAATTTAACAATTCCCGTTATTTTCTGAACACACCAAGTATACTTGGTATACCTAGTATGAAATATAAAAATTCCAGCCAAATCTTTAACTAAACTTCGGAAAATGTAAAATTTTCCAAAATCTCTTAAAGGACTTTGCTATTCATTGGATATATTCAGATATATTATCTGAACTTTGGAATGTCGACTCCAGAAATATTGAGTTGTGTTGCGCCTGAGCACAATTCTGCGCTTCAAAAAAAGAATCTGTAAATTTCGACCAAGGCCTTGAAAAAATGAAAATTTAAAATTTTTTCACGAGGTCAAAAAAAATATTACACGGTTAAAAAAATGTTTATGTTTTATGTTAATCCAGGTCCAAATAACTTTATGTTAAGTTTACAATCAACTGCAATCTGTTAACTAATTGAATAAGTAGTTTGTTGGAAATTAGGAACATAAATAAAAAGAATTTGTAACTTTATCTATTTTGCGTTCATAATGACTTCATTATATCACCGCTTTCGTTGCTGTAAAATTTTGATTTTATAAGTTTGCTCTACTTTAAACAGCATAATATTTTTCATATTGGTTATAATATTTTTATGATTTTTCTAGTACTTACGAGACTTGGCAATAAATTTTGTTTGGCACCAAAAAAATCCTTTTTTTCTTCTTTAACATTAACAGCCGCTTATTGTTAATAAGTAAATTAAGGACGGCATGGCGAATCGATTTTGACATTAACTGTCAAACCAATGACTGTGATACCAACTATCTAAAGTAAAATTCGACCAAATTGAATTTAAGGTATAAAATTAATTTTTTTTATAGAATTTTTGCAAAATAGATAAAACAGCATATCATAAGACCTTTTGTCGCACTCGTGCATTACAAAAAATATTTAAA